CACACACACACACACACACAGATATATACAGACTGTTCTGGAAAGCTTTCAGATTGGTATCTGGATGTGTGTGGTGGGAGGTTTTGCACAGGTTATTTGGGTTCACTGTAGCTCACCCATACAGCACTCGTCTCTTTTGCTCTGTCTTCCTCTGCAAAAAATAAAAAGTGAACAATGAAAAGACACACAAACCAACAAGCTCTGTGCCAACAGATGAAAACTTTCGATTTGAGTTGCTAAATGATTTTATATTGACACAGAGCAGTGATCGCTGCTGTGATTGGACATATTTATATATTTTGTGCCATATTGTAGCAGTGATTGTGTCCAGGACCAATATTAGGGATGTACCAGTGCCATGCTAGGATATTCTGGAAAGCTTAGTACAGTTTAGTATTATAACCAACACTTTTCTTACCATCACTAGTCTAAATGGTCTTTTTACAATCCTTCTGTAGGTTATTTTGTGGTATTTGGATGTATCCACTTACGATTTGTCTAAACTGAATATGTCAACATTAGTTTTTATTTTTTAATAAATCTAATTTTCCTCCCCCAGGTTCCCGATGCTGTCTCCCTTATCCCAATTCCGCTCGCTGCCCAGGCTCTGCCCTCATCAGTCTCACCACCACACCATCTCCGGCCTCTCTGGCCTGGCCCCCAGACACGGTTACCGCTGCACCCGTTGCGCCCAGAAAAAATGGCCCCCTGTTCTCATTCCACCCCTGGATTCTCTCAAAGATCCCCTGAAGCCCCCCCAGAGTCTCATCCTGCCCTCCCTGGACACATCCTCCGACCAGCAGAAGAGCCCCCTGCTGGGTGGAGAGTGCGTGAATACACACCATACACAAGCCGCTGTGCCAAAAACTGTACAGGAAAAGATGGAAGGAAGTGAAGTGAAGGAGAAAAAGGAAGGAGAGCTCACAGTATTGTCTGTAGGAAGGTACGTCCACTTTATAACACTTTACTAAATACATGTAGCTGGGTGCTGTTCACAGGCTTCATTTTGACATATTTAAACTTTCCTGTAGCATTTAAATTTTTGTTTGCTGTTACTGAAAGTACCCAGCATCACTGACAATGATAGTATTGCTGGTTTTCACTGAGGTCATGGATTTGAATTGTATACCACCACCAATACAGTCGCACCAGCAAAAATAAATGAGCTCTCACTGGTTACATCACAGCGGCAATTTTCCAGGGTCGGTGTAATCGAGTGGCTTGAAGGTGGTGGAGGGGACTCAGAGGCAGGCAGGGTTGTGAAAGAGGAGCCTTTATTGTCAGAAAACAAAGTTCAAACAACAGGACAAGTTATCACGGCAGATATCTTGACTGAGGACACAGGAAAAGGCAGGACTATAGGTACACACAGGGGACTGATTACACAACAGGACACAGAGCACAGGGGATTTAATCAGCAATGGGTGAAAACAATGAAGGTGGGCTGGAAAATCACAGAAAGTAACCATGACGATGCACAAGAGAAACACACTTAAATACACTTAAAAAGGCACGAAGACTAATTATGCAGTTGATTAGTCCAAAAAATGAACTCCTACCTCCTTTTTCTAACTACTTTTCTTTGACCTGCATGGAACGCATCAAGAGGTGAAGGGAAGGTATCAAGGAGAATTTATGAGGACTGAGGAGAAGAGAAGGGCAGTGCTCAGAAAATCCAACTGCACTTACATTAGACTCCTTAACAATGGGATGTCTGTGGTTTTTTGAATTACAATGGACTAAAAAGAAGGCACCTTTGAATTCATCCCAAAATGTTCTCACTGTGTTATTCCATTTTTTGCTGGAGAGATGTTCCAGTGTAACTTCCTTTCTCCTCTTAGCAGACGCTTTCCTACATTCAACAATTATCCAGTTCTGGGTGGTTGTGGTTTGGGTTGAGGAAGGTGAGGGGGGGCCTATCTCAGTCGATCCCAAGTAAAAATTGAATTAACTGGAGACAAAGTCAGAGAGTCAAGGCTGAGATGGTTTGAACATGTGCACAGGAGTGATAGTGGATATATGACAGGAGGAAAAGAGGAAGACTACAGAGAAGAATCAGGGATTTAGTAAAGAAGGAGATGGTGTGACAAAAGAAGATTCTGCTGTTTAAATTTGAGAACACCTGTGTACTGTGTTGACTAACATTTACATAACACACAGGAGGACACGGGTACTAACATGCAGAAAAGCCAATGTCACTTTATAAGTCATAATAGGGTTGTTTTCTGAATGTAATAATGGTTATGTTACATGTTGATTCACAGATTTCAAGTTGCTCAGATCCCGGAGCAGAAGCCATGCACAGTGGAGACCAAGAGAGCATCCCAGGAGCAAAGGAACTCCTTCTTCGGCGGGAAGTCCTTCTCCTTGTCTTCCTCATCTGGCATCCGGAGGTAGGAACTCCAAACACAGCAAGAAGTTTTGGCCTCTCTTTCTATCCATGCTGTTTCTTTCTGTTTCATCTCCTCTGTGCACTGCCAGCACTTGAAGACTGTACTGACCAGCGACTGATGTAGTCTTGACAATTGGTTAGATTTAGTCAAATCAAATTGAGATTTATTTAAAATGACAAAAATATCATAATTAATTTTGTTTTTCGTTCATGTTTGCAGGTGAAGGGACGATATTGCTACCTCGCTGAAGATGACCTCATTCACCGGCGACAGCTTGACCCGCTGACACCAAGGGTGTTTTATTTAGTTGACCTACACCGATAAACCACAACCACCTGCTGCTGGAAGTAGTTGTTTCTAATAATGCAATAATAGGAATATAACTGTATTTATTATTACATAGGCAGATTATTGTATTATAGACGTATCGGATGCCGCATCAGAGGCATCACGGCTACATCCGAACAGAAACGGGTTGCGAGACGTCCAAGGACAGAGCGGTTAACTGACACTAGAAAGAGGGAAGTGTGTATTATACACAAATGCACTCCCGGACTTTTTTAAAAAAGAGTGCTTCCATTTAAAAAAAGAAAAAACAAAACAACAAAAACAAAAATAATAATAATTTATAAGAATGCACCATAAAAAACAGAAAATCTCCGCCTATCAGCCTGTGGTTTACAACATCAATGAGCATATGAGTTTTTTAGCACCACAGTTGGCTAATAAGCCAAATAAAAATAAGAAATCTGGATCATTTGACACTTCATTATTTAAAAAAAGGTATGTTTTAAAAAAAAAATTAATGTTATATATTTAAATAATTAAATATAAGTAATTTTGCTGACACCAAAACTGAGGAGGTTTCAGACCTCACTTGCTCACTCAGTTAAAACCTTTTAGAGTAAAAAAATAAAACCAAATAAAAATGGCGAGATTTACATTTTCGGGATGTACCGGTTTTTCTTTAAGAGGGGCACCTCAGGCTATATCAGAGCATTTTTAATGACGCCGCAGCCCATTGGCTCATTCCCAGCTGCTGTCGTCATTAGAGTGAAAGAGTAGTTACAGGGCTGGGTCTCGCTTTTGTAGAAGAAAACATGTAAATGTAAATATAAACATGTACATATGTAAATATGGGTGGGTTTAGACAAACATGGCGTTTTGTAATTTTAAAGTATGCATGAGGTGATACGTTAGATCCCTTATAATGGGAAAGACAACTGCACTGCACCAGCGAGTGACATTTGTGGTTTATCATTTTAAAAAAAGGAAAAAGTTAGAAAAAAACCCCAGCAAATGCTACCACACTACCATGCATAGGCCCGAAGGCTGAAGTGCAGCATAAGTTTAACATGATATTTGTTATTTTTCTACCATTTGGGTGCAGCATCTCAGTGCTTTTTCCTTCAGCTGTTACAGTTTCCTATTCTATTCATGAAAACACTCTGTAGCTATGCAATCTTCAGAATTCAAAGAAACCACTTATATAAACACACACACACAGACACACATATTTATTTTTTTTAAATTTATTTTATAGTTTAATTCAATAAACCCACCAGTGGCTGCAGAGAATTAGCGGTTTAAATGCCTCAGTCATGCGAGCTCAGTTGGCTTTAGTTTACATCCTCATGGGTTTTCAAGCGTGTACTATAATGATAGAGGCTTTTTTTAACTGCTCATTTTCATATTTTCTTATTATGTTGTGACAAGGAATATGACAGCATGTCTGGAGGGAAGGATATTTATTGACTGCGTTACATGTTTTCTTTTGATTTGTTTTTAGTAACATTCTCACTCAGACTACAGTTATCATGAAACGTATTCAAGCTGAAGTGTTGCTGAAAAGAGATTTAAATATTCATCTCATCAGCTTTGTAGCATGCATTTATATAATATTGCAGTTTTTTCCCTGTATGATGTTTTTACTTTTAAAATAAAGAGGTATTTTAAATGCTATCTGGTTTGGTGTCGCACTGCTGTGTGGCTTTGTGGTGTCTGGAGTTGGTGAGTATGTGAGACTTGAGATTTGTGTGAGGCTAGATTATAAAATGGCAAAAAATTTGATGGGATTGCTTGAACCATGATGAACTTGTTGGGGGTTGTCACCCCCTAGTGGTTCACTCTAGATTAAAGGGATACTTGAGTCTGTTGTTGTTGTACGTTACTATAAATTCCCTTCCTTTCCTATGGCTCATTGATTTAAAAAATGATGGACACACATGGATTTAAATTAGAAGAAAAACATCCATCCATCCATCTTCCCCTATCCCAGCTGCCATAGGCCGAAAAGGTGGGGTTAATCCTCGATAGGTTGCCAGTTACCACATTTTAAAAATGTCTTCTTCTTTACTACATGATTTTTACATCCTTCACATTTGTGACATGTGTTTTTCTCCGGGACATTGCGAGCAAGCCTTAAATTTGCAGTGAGGTTGACCCTTGCGGGGAACATACGCATTCCTGTCTTTCATGTCAGAACAATGCTCACAGTAGAAAACCTATAAGTTCTTATCCTTATCCTTAAACATCAGGTGCTGGAAATGACTCATAAAATCAATTCTCGAAGCACACAGCTGTGATACGCCACATAGTTTTCTATTTTCATAAATACACAATCTTTATTCCCTATACATCCAAAGGCATTTAATGGATTAAGTCAGAAATCAAATACAATTTAGACATTTATTTCTAATCTTCAGTCATCATAAATCTCCTTTGTCCTGATTTGCAGTATTTTAACAATAAAACTAAATTGCAGGTTTTTCCCTTTAATTTGCTCTCACTAGGATTCTTAGCAAAAAGAAAACAAAAAATAGTATCTAATAACAAAATATCTGTCTTGAAGTAAAATTAACATCTCAGAAGTGTTGCACCTGCTAAACTAACGACTGGTGCATATTTAAGATTGAAAAGTGCTCTCTTGAAGAGATCTCATCTGTCATGCAATACTGTGTGTCTATGTAGGTTTTGAACCATCCAGGTGGCAGTAGCTTTGAGTACTTGAGTTGAAGGGAACTGAACTTCTTTTTAGGTTCTTCTGTTCAAAAAAACTAATGGGAAGTCCCAGGTATTTAACCCCCACTGGTGCTGTCACTTTGGAGGTGGTCCTGAGAGTCATTAACCTTCCTGTAATCATGTTTAATTCAATTCAACTTAAGTGAATATTATTTATATTGAACTAAAACAACAGTTGCCTCGAAGTGCTTTATATTTTAAGGTAAAAACTCTACATTAAAACGCACAAAACAACAACAACAATAAAATGACCCACTATAAGCAAACACTTGATAACAGTGGGAAGAAAAAACTTCCTTTTAACAGGAAGAAAACCTCAGAGCAGCACCAGGCTCTGGGAGGGGCAGCTATCTGCCTTGACCAGTTGGGGGAGAGGGGAGGGAGACAGGACAAAAAACACAGTGTGGAAGAGAGTGGTAGATAAACATGCGAGTCTTTAACAGCCTGTTACTGTTACACAAGCCCAGGTGGCAAACAGTCACATGGTGTTAGTGTTGTGCTGTCAAGTTTTGGATTCCACTGTTTGCTTTTGGTGGCGGCAGTTTGCGCTTCTTAGTGAGATTGCTGCGGGCATCCTGCCCTGCCAGGAAGTAAAGGATGGGGTCCACGCAGCTGTTGGCACTGGCCAAAGGTCGTGTAATCTTGTAGGCCACGCTGGAAGCTTCCACCAAGCTGCAGCTGATCTGGTGAATGGATGCAAATGTCATTCAGCGATCTTTTAGAGTCATCATAACATGTTTATTATTAAAGAAGTGCTTGTCCTCACCTGTGCTGGATTGACCTGCCTCATGTATCTAAAAAAGTAGTAAAGACTCCTGGTGAGGTGGAAAGGGAGGAAACACAGCATGAACGCTGCCAGCACGATGATGATCATCTTTACTGACTTCTGTTTGGACCTCTGGGCTGTTAAGCCTCCTCTTTCCTCTTCGGTTCTTGCTCCAGACCCCCAGCCAGTATCTAGAAGCTTTCTCACCATCAGGCCGTAGCAAACCATCACCACCATGAAGGGTAAGACGAACATGAGCACTGATACGACTGAGCTGTACACCAGGAAGTCATCGAAAAGCTCTGGACTGGTGGTGTCGTGGCAGATTCGCTCGGTGTTCATGTCCCTTACAGAGCAGATAAAAGATTGGATTTGTTTCGGATCTTTAAACGGCACTCCCCCTGTCTGGCACTCAACCTGAGTAAAAGCTTGGCTGTTCTTTTAAGTGTGTCCCTTTAGGGTCACCTAAGATAAGCACAGTACAAAACTGGTGTGCCACAAAAGTCGATAGTCCACACTTAAATGCAATTAGAGACACTTTCACAAAATAAACGAAGACAGAGAAATAAAGTTACAAACATTTAATCACCTAGTTCTTGAAAAGTAGAGAATAGGAGCCTGGCAGAATAACACACAGGCCCACACTGCCACAGACACCAGCCGGGCCTGGCGGGCGCTGACCCAGTTGAGGGAGCGGACCGGATAGCAGATACCAACGAACCGATGCAGGCTGATGCAGGACAGGAACAGGATGGAACCTGTCAGAGAGGAAAAAAAGACTGTTTAGCATGCTTTTTTCATAGACTAATAATTATTAGTATTACTGTGTAATTCTTTGTATTAACTAATAGATCATAAAAAAACAAAACAAAAAACAGTGTAACCAGTGGTTTGCACCTTGTTTGTAAACCCTCAGTGTTTATGTTCATGAAGGCGTCTCTTGCGTGTATAATGATATTCCTACCACTGAAGGCATTTTTTGACTTGGTTAGATGATGTGAAGTTGGTTTTCTTAACAATGGAAATAATTCTGTGATCATCCACTCAGTTATTCATTTGGCTTCGCTGAGCTGATGACTGCATTTAGGCCCCTCCTAAAGCTTTGTTTTTCTCTCTTATTTATTTCGGGTTTATTTGGGTTTTTCAGCCCAATAGTGGCCTCTCTGAATTGCACTAAGATCATCTAAGATTATGATGTAAACCTATAAAATACATCAAGGGAACGGCCCTCCCTCAGCCATGAGACTGCTCATCTGAATTAAAGCTGAAAGTCTCCACACACACACACACACACACACACACACACTGTATTTCACACCTTATTGCATCATACTGCACTGACAAATAATGCATACTGTATTGCAGCATATTATCTTGCAAAGCTGTTGCTCTACAATAAGTCAAGCTCAGCTTTTGTACTGTGCTGTGTGAGTTTGTAGCTTTCCACAACTGTACCGTATAAATTGGCATAAAACAGGAAGCGTATAAGCTTGCAGAAGGGTTCGCTGAACGGCCAGTCGTTCTTGTCGGCGTAGTAGTAGATGAGGAATGGCAGCGTGAAGATGTACAGGGTGTCACACACTGTCAGGTTGAACATATAAATGGTCGAGGGCTTCCAGCGCTTGGTGCGGAACACAATCACATACAACGCAGTGGCGTTCAGCGCTAGGCCAATCACAAACACCAGGGTGTAGCTGACAGGGAGGAGGATATATTTAAAATCATCATTGAACTGACAGTAGTTGGCACTGGAATTGGTTTGGTTGGTCTTGTTGTTGTCAACGCTGGCCATCTTGATGCTGAGAAGACCTGAGGGGAAAATTGTAGAAAGGAATAAATTATCTATCTATCTATCTATCTATCTATCTATCTATCTATCTATCTATCTATCTATCTAAAGAAAATGGTTGTGATTAGAAGGATATGACATCAGTTAAAGAGGCCCTGAATCATTTGCTTTGGCATGCTTCAACAGCACAGTCCAGCATATCATGCCATACTAAGTATAGGCAAATAGCCAATTGTGATTGCACAATCAAATTAATATAATCCATCTTGACTCACTTCATTTCTGTAAAATGCACAAGGACATTTCACAGACATTAGTTGTTGCTTTCTTTAATTGTGGGTGAAAGAAGAGAAGGAGCTACTTAAAACCATAACTGATAATTAGACTCTCCTGAAGCTTTTTTTTCCATCCAAAAATATGAATCTCTGTGTAAGCGGTGGCTCTTAAACAGACAGTACAGTTCCTCCACCTGGCCTAAACAACACCGGGACACCTCTGAATAACATATCGGTGATGCAGAGTTTCAAAGTTTATTTCAGACACTGATTCACCAACTTATGTACCAACAACTTTTTTAGAAAATATCTGGTGCAGCTGTGGCCCACAGCAGATTAAAAAAAAGCACGTTTTGTTTGGGCATGACAAAGTTGTCTAAAAAACCCTCCAGCTGCAAGCGGCAGAAACAGAGGAATAACTTTTTAACTCAAACCAGATTCAGCTTAGAGAGTTTCAGTGGCGTGAGCTGAACATTGCTGGCTCACACAAACTCAGGCCATTTTTCTGTTTATTTGACAAGCTCAAGCTCAGCCATGCAATACAATGGACAGAAAGAGCCTGAAGAAACAACATGCAACCTTACTAGTTTCTCAGCTCACCGAGGAGTTAACCTGCAGCGGACCTTCCACCCCCTTCCTCTTTCTGATGTTGTTTTGCTCTCTCTGAACCTTTTGTTCTTCTCTCCTTTACTCTTCTAAACAGCCCTGTGTTAAATTTAATCGATAACAGACCTGAGCGTCCATATTTGTAGTTCCTAAGTTTTTGTGCATGCCATACCAAGTTGAGAAGAACTTACCTCTTCGGCAATAAATTCCTTTCTGCTATTTTCTGGTAAAACAGCCGTTCACAAACATCCCCCCCTCCCCCCCCCAAAAAAAACCCCAAACCCTAAAAAACATATAGCTTATGAAGTAACTCACACTGTATGGGTGCTATTATCCTGACTATCCTGTCCAAAGTATCCTCACATTGTTGTTTGTGGTTGAATGTGTTCCTGGGAGACTGGAGGCAGTGGAAAAGTTGTGAAGAGGTATGACTGTTTGACGAGTTGCGGCGTGTCCACAGTGAGTAAGCATCTGGGGCCTGAGGCT